CCTTTCTTGATTTGTCAAAATAGACAAGTAAATAAGAACAAATATAAAAAAAATATATGAACAAATTAATAAAAACAAAAAAAAATATTATATATAACTTTTTTAAATAAAAATTCTACCTCGACCACCGAATATAATTAATTTCACCCTCACTCAGAGTCTTTTGTGAGTGACTAGAATTCCAATGTATTTATTTTTTGAATCTTAATAATTATAAAGGTGAGACACATCTCCATATTCTTTGCACCAAAACAAGCAAGCATGCACCTAGATCTCCCCCACACATACAAACTAGACACCCCCACCCTCTTACCCCTTTATATATATATATATATATATATATATGTATGTATGTTTGTATATATTTATATTTATATTTTGCTTGCTTTTTATGCAACACACCATGTAACCTTAACCTTATCTACATGCATGTGGTAATACTATATATAATATATACTTGAATCTTTAAAGCTTATCCATTCTCTTTAGCCCTCTCTAAAGAGAGTTAAAAAAGAACTATGGTATATGTGTCTATTTATTTATTAAATATTTTTTAATTTTATTTATTTATTATTTTAGATATATTCAAAAAAATAATATGTCAAATTAAAATTTAAAAAGTAAAAAAGGACGGAAGAGGTATTCATTTGTTATTTATTTTGTTAATTATCGACTTTTGGAGGTCGATTTTTATAATTTTTAAAAATGAAAAATATGTATACTTGGGAGTTATCTTTTGTAGAAAAAAAAAGAAGAAAAATATTTGCAAATAAATTGAAGCCGAAGAGTATAAATAAAAAACAATTCTTAAACCACTAAAAACTAATGATTTCGTGGTGGTACGTAGAAAAGTATTCTACCGTAATAAAGACAGGTCATTTTATAATATCACTACAACGAAAATAACTTTTAGCGACACTAAATATTGACACTAATAAAGAGTGCCAAAGTTTTTATCGGCATTAGTTGAAAGCCATTAAAATCAATGATGATAAAGGTTTTAGGGACATATATAAAGAGTGACAATTGCCGCTAAAAATACATATTTAGCGGCGTTACGAATTAAATACCGTTAATGATTATATTTTTGTAGTGTTTATTGTATTTTATTATATTTTTGTATATGTATTATTTTTAGTGAATACAGTGTTTGGATGGATTATACGTTGTTTCACAGTGTCACATATCTATAATTTAAATGGAATAGGGTCAAAAATACCCTTAAACTATCTGAAATACCTCATATATACCCTTAAATTATATTTTGGCTCAAAACTATCCTTCTCGTCAAACTATTGGGTCAAAAGTCTCTTTCTAATGAAGGAAATTGTTAAATGCCATGTGGATGTCACATGAATGCCACATAGCACGCCCATAGATTTCCACTGTCACATAGACTAAAAGGAAAATGATCAAAAGTACCCATAAACTATTCGAAATAGCTCATATTGACTAAATCTCTAAATCTTAATTACTCATTTTCCCTCATTTCATTATTTTCGAGAAACAATTTCACCCTTCTCCCTCATTTCGCGGCTAGGGTTTCACAGTTTTCTTCGTCACTGGGTTTCAAAGTGGATATCCGTGGTCGTAGGTTAGTAAACTTTTTTCTTATTTTATTGTGTTTACAACCACGAAAATCCTCTTTGAAACTCAGCTCCAAAGAAAGTTATGAAACCTTGGCCGCGAAATGATGGAAAAGTTGTGAAATTCTAACTATCATACTTTGGATCGTAAACATAATAAAATAAGAAAAATATTTACTAACC